AGTCCTTTGGCAGAAATCGTATGGCCGAAAAACTTAAATTCGGGCTGGCCAAAGTGACGCTTCGAGAGATAGCAGAACAACTTCGCACGACGTAGAACCTGGACGAGAGTTTGAAGATGTTCAACATGCTCCTTCAGTCTGGTGGAAATAACACAAATGTCATCCAAGTAGACAACATTAAAGCGGTACTTCGCAAAGAGTACCCTTATGAGGTGAGACCAAGCACCAGGCATACCAGGCAATCCCATAGGAGGACTGGTTAGTATCAGCGTGCGTGCGAAAGACGGTATACTTGCGACCCTTGAACGCGATACGCATCTGGTGATATCCTTGAGCCAAATCTAGAACTGAAAATGTGACACAACCATACATCTGATCGAAGCGTTTGGCGATACGAGGCAGTGGAATCTTTGGAGCAATCGACTGCGAGCTCACATAGCGATAGTCGACGACCCAACGGATAGGCAAAGTCGAGTTTTCAGAACGTACCCACTCAGAGCAAGACAGCTGACGTCCAGAAGTAGGATCTTTCTTTGGAATCCCAAGGATGTTGGACACCCAAGGAGAATCAGAAAATTCGATCCATCCTTTTTTCAATTTCTCTGCAAGGAAGAGACCCAGTGCATCCTGCTCAGCCTTAGACAGGCGGAACGGAGCACGGTTACTTGGAGTAGCATCAGGTTTTATGTGAAGCTCATAATGCACACGACGTGAAGGCGGTAAGCGATCCGGTAAAGTCTCCGAAAAGACGTCAGTAAAACGCTTCAACAAATGAGTGATCGGAACAGGAGTCGAATCCTTAACTGGCGTGACCGCACAAATCTTGACACGGTACACTTCCTTATTCACATGTTTCTTCACGTTATAAATAAAATCATCAGCAGCAATTTCCACAGCTGCTTGACTAGAAACCGTTGATGGAGGTGCACAATGCACACTTGGAACTCATGCGAACGCCAATTGATGCATGGCTGAAACTTAGTAAACCAAGGTTTTCCCAAGGTGACATCATGGGCAGATCCAAGTGACCATTCCACGACCTAATGTTTGCGGAAATGGTAGCGACCAAAGTCAACAGTCGCTTGGCCTTTCTTCACAGAACTTGCTTTCGTAGAAGGTCCATCGAACCGAGTGACTTGTGAGACACCAGACGTAGCGGTGCTAGCGACAAGCCCTGGGCGACCAACGTTGCATGTAGCACCACAGTGAGACATGATGACGACAGGTTTCCCGTCACAAGTCTCTTGTTTACGAATGGGCTCGTTCTCACGATGCATGGACGACAAAATGGACGTGGAAATCTCTTCCACTTCAACAGCCCCAACTTCGTCATCGGAATGAGTCATAGACGATCGTTCAGCAGCAGCAGCAGTTGTAGGAGAATCAGAATTAAAGCTCGCGGCAGATTGCTCGTGACGGTTCTCTCGAGCATTCTTCTCCTTGTTCTTAAACTTGAAGCACTGCTCAATGACATGACCAGACTTCTTGCCGTAACGACATCGCTTGCTAGACGCCGAAGAAGAAGCAGAACGGCGGTTTCTAGTACCCCGTGAGTCAATTTCCATTGGCTCGAGTTTGCTCTCCTAAACACGCAAAGGCGTGGCTTGCTGTTGGTGCGAATTGTTATTGGACTGAGAGCGTGATCGATCCTGAACAAGAACGATGGACGATAGTTCTTACCGCGGACATGATGCAATCGATCATACTCCAAGGCAATGTTCATTGTATGCGACACTGTTGTACAGCGACTATATTGCACCGCTTCACGCGTAGGACTGACGAGTCCACGTGTGGAGTAAGTGATCTTGTCCAGCTCACTCATGCCGGCCACTTGCAAGATGGCTTCACGGAAGTGAGAGATGTATTCTTTCAAGCTAGAACAATTTTTCTGCTTGAGTGCGTACGATTGGTCACGCAAACGCTCTTGCAAATCCGGAGGCACAAATTCAGCGGTTAGCCTGGCCATAAGGTCCTGCATGCCCTTGATATCACGCTTGTTAAGCTTGTACCAAGCGGCAGCATTTCCTTTAAAGCTCGCAGTAGTAATGGCCAAAATTCGAGAACTTTGTTGTTGTTGTTGTTTTGCCAATCGATGTTTCTGACTTCAAAGAACTGAGCAAGTTGCTCGAAGTCCATCTCAACAAATTCTCCCATCTTGCCATGAAACACAGGCTGACGAATACCTTCCACTCTCACTTCACGCTTACTGATGACTTCAAGCAGTAATTGCTGCTTGTCAACCGTTTCGATGAGTTTCTGCGTGATAGCGCCAGTAGTCCATCCTTGAGGATTTAAGAAAGGCATGGTTAGTTGTCGAATAATTCAGCGATGAAGTGCCGAATAAGGATGTCGGGTACTGCAGCGGGGCTGCCGTAGCTTTAGCGTCAGAGGAAGACGTTCGACTCAAAGAGTCACTAATACTAAGTTCCTTATCCAAAGGACACTTACAGCCCAAGACCAGGGCTCAAAGTTAATACCTTAACTTTTATGCTTCAAAACCAGAAGTGATTTATTTACTATTATTGCGGCCAAGCCGCCTAGGGGTAAATGTATCTCTTTAACTATCTAGCATAGTTAAACCTAATCAAATGCATAACGTGTGGCTTTCAGCCAACGTACTGAGAGACCTTGTTAACTCTCCAACTTATGTACTGAGAGTTTGTTAACTCGCCGGGTACTTCGTACCCCTGTGTGTTCCACACCATGTAACCCCGTTACAGGTACAGATGGACAGCGACGAGGGGTGCATGTACTGAATTTGATCCGGTTCTTATAGACCAGACACTTACAGCACACACGCAATCAGCGATAACGCAGATAAGGGATGCAACGCAAGGTGCAGGTACTGACTTGATCTGGTTCTGATAGACCAGACGCTTAGTGCAGTACACACGCAAAATTGTCAAAGTGCGCTGAAATAAGGTCGAAGCGAAGAAACCCGACTATTTTGGAGGCGAACAAACAACGACACACGCATACGAGCGGCTTTCCACGTGTCGCGTAGCGACTAGAGAATGAAGGACCCCCCCGGACGAAATTCAGCAAGTGCTACCAGATGTGACGACTGGTGAGAGCACGGCGCAGAAGAACAGCGACGAGGGAAGCGTCGCGTGGCGAGGAGCGAAGCGGAGGAGGGCGGCGAGAGTCCAACGATGGGGACCCGAAGATAAGGCGCAGGAAGCTACTGATGTGCCTCGAGCATGATAAATTGGAAATTGAAATTGAAATGATTAGTTGTTTGTCGGCTACGAGGAATTGCTTGTTGGCATTCCCTTCGTTTCCTAGGTAAGTATATGAATTTCACTATACTAGATTCTAGGTAGTCCTTGAGTCGAATCTGGAAGTAGCGTAGCATAGTAGTGAACCACGGTTCATTTGAACCGGGTCAGAATCTTCATAGTGAGTTTAAATGAAAAATAATGATCGTCATTGCGGCTCCATGTTTGGCAATACTCGTCCAAACATGGTGATTGCCTTCCGGTCAGGCGTGTATCTGCCTGACCGCTCATTGGCAACTTAAAGACAGTTGACAGTCAGCAAAGACAAGTAGTAGCACAATGGAAGAAAGTAGGACGCATTGGTGCCAACGTCATGGCCATCGCTAGCTGTGACGCTGGTGCGTCGCTACATTTTACCACACACCAAGCATATGTAAGTGCTTGCTACACGAGAAGCTGCTACTCCGACGAGCTGCCCCCCCCACACACACACATAACAAAGCTTATGCGATAGGGAAACGCCACATGAAGTCTCATGTGGCTTGTGGAGAGTTTCCGACATGGTCCGCGTCCGCAAGCTAGTGACTTTACATTATTAGCACCTATTATGCTAGAGCAAACTTGAATTATAAAGGAAGCACAAGAGTTTGTGCACCTCCTGTGCACATTCATGGAGTAGTTTTTGTGCTCACTGAACGCTGGCAGCATTAACTGCTATCCCAGGGTAAATTATCGCAGGTACGTAGGTGTCGTTTTCCTCCTTTTCTACCTTCTCAAAGTCAGATGCAAACTACAGACCACGATGATCACCACAATTAATATCTGAGATGGCGTCAAAAAATCTGCTACTAAAAGCTACTATAAATATGCTCGAAAACGATTTCTCTGAAATTTATTTCAGAGTTAAGGGGACGAGCTAATGGAATGTTCCTGAATGAAAAAATTGGATTTCGAGCCAATTTGTTGGCTGTACACTTAATTTCTTTGATCTGATACAGACTGGTTTCGTCTCACCCTCGACGCCTCTCACATTGCGACTGTGATGCGATGGTGTTCACCTGTAGTGAATTGTATGTTAGTTGGCTGGAGGGCGTTCATCGAGAGCAACAGTTCCAGAGCAGGAAGTACTTGCAGCTGCGCTGACACTTACGTCGATAACAAATGCCGATCTCTTTCCGCCTCACGAGGCGTTTTAGCTAAATTCTCTGCTTAGGAGTCACGCAATGCAAACACTACAGCCGGATCGGTCCCTCTAGTTTTTCTTTTGTGTCTAGAGGTTGGTGTTGTGCCTTCCTTCGCTTCGGTGATGCTGTACAAGCGAACATTTATATCCATCCATCAGCAAACCTCGATTAAAAAACGTTTTAAATTTTTTTTAATTGGTATTGAGTTTTGGTTTAAAACCTGGTGTTTCAATATCCGTAAAATAATAATGGAATATATAAGTTCCTGTCAGAAGGCTGTCTTAGAGGGGGTTTAATGTCGGGTACGGAAGCAATCACTCAAATGACAAGAGCAATAAAGGTGTAATGAACTCACATAGCATTTAAAATCGTAAATGACGACTATTACAAAACATTCATTGGACTGGTATTTAGTGACAAGAACAATGATCGTACAAAAGGCGTCATGAACTCACAAAGCATTCAAAATCGTAAATGACGACTACTACAAAGCATTCATTGGACTGGTATCGCACGGAGCGGTAAATGTCTCGACACATCGGACGAGTGTAATGGATGGCGTTCTTCTGACTTGGAAAGGATGACCATCATTCCTAGTTTAAGCGCGCAGGTGGCGGTAAGTGCTGGGCTTCGTGGACGTCTGAGTAGCCATCTGAGAAGCTTGGTTAGCTGTCTTCTCTGGGGCTAACGAAGCGATGGCACTCGTTCCCTTCGAGTAGCTGTCCGTGTTGGTGCCCTTCTTCACACTTGTGCCGGCACCAGTATTCAAACTAGCACCAGCGTTGAGACCGGCACCAGCACTGAGGCCGGCATTAGCGTTGAGGCTGGGACCAGCGTTGAGTCCGGCACCAGCATTAAGACCAGCACCAACCTTAATACCGGCACCAGCGTTGAGTCCGGCATTTGCTTTCAATCCTGCATTGGCGTTAGGACCCGCACCGGCGTTGAGGCCAGCACCAACGTTGAGACCGGCACCAGCATTGAGACCAGCACCAGCCTTGAGACCGGCACCAGCATTGAGACCAGCACCAGCCTTGAGACCGGCACCAGCATTGAGGCCGGCACCAGCGTTGAGTCCGGCGTTCGCTTTCAATCCTGCATTGCCGTTAAAGTTATGGACCCGGCCCCGACCATCCCAGCGTTGAGACCTGCACCAGCATTGAGGCCGGCACCAGCCTTAAGACCAGCACCAGCATTGAGCCCAGCCCCAACGTTGAGACCGGCACCAGCGCTGAGTCCGGCGTTCGCTTTCAATCCTGCATTGGCGTTAAGACCCGCACCGGCGTTGAGGCCAGCACCAACATTGAGACCGGCACCAGCATTGAGACCAGCACCAACCTTGAGACCGGCACCAGCATTAAGTCCAGCACCAGCGTTGAAGTCCGGCGTTCGCTTTCAATCCTGCACTGGCGCCAAGACCCGCTCCGGTATTGAGACCAGCACCAGCCTGAAGTTCAGCATTCCCCTTGAGGCCTGCGTTCGCGTTGATGCCGGCACGAGCATCGAGACCGGCGCCGGCGTTGGTATTACCGTAACCAAGTGCACCGAGACCAGCATTTGAGTTGAGACCCACGCCCGTAGCGCCGTAGCCACCAGCACCAGCCTTGAGACCGCCAAGTGCCTTTAGAAAAGACAGTCCGCCATACTGTATCCACTTATCCCCGCGGACGCGCCTTCATATCCGTCTGTGCCGACACTAGCACCTCCGTAGCCAGTGTTGTGGCTCTTCGGTAATAGCCAGCCAAATGGTCTCCGCCGCCTCCGTCGTCGCATCCACTGTACCACCAGAGAACGTCACAGCTGCCGCACACAATGCATAGATCGTCTTGCTGATCATCATCTTGGTCGTAATTGGAGTAGCTTGCTTGAGCTGGAGTGACTTGTTGGAGGCAGTCGAAATTGAAGAGTGAGCTCTAAGGCAGTCCACTGCGAGCAGCCCCAGCGCTCAGACTAGATGGCTGGTAACTCGAACAGAACAATCTGTCCTGCCCGCGTGTAGTCTAAAGCAGAGGGAATAGCCACTACCATTCCTATGCCACATGATTATCAGGTATTTGTAAGCTACATCGATCTATTTATCAGGTTCAGTGCTAGTATAATTAAAGTGTCATTCTCGGATAAGATCTGCGCAAACACGCAGGCAGAGAGAAGAACGCATCACAAAAACAGCGAGACCGGATGGTGGCAAAACGGTGAAGCGGTATGGAATTACAAGGGACATTACCGATGACGAGAATTCCCGCGGGAATTACAGTTTTGATGCATCGAGCGTGTCGTTTGGTTGTAGCAAACTACGGGTCAAATATGAATAACTAACGGGCGGGTGGATCGAGATCCACGCCGGCAAGGTCATAAAATGCTGTTATTTTAGTGGTAAGTGAATCTCATGCTCCTACTTTTAATCACCAGCGCAGGCTCGACCTTTCAATAGCTGGAGCGAGCGTGACGTTCATCATCTAACTTTTTTGTCTTCTAGCCGTCTTAACAGTCGGAAATCCAAGGTCATCATTATCCATCGACTTGCAGTATGGTCGTTAGTGTTTACCAGATAGCTATTCTAGAGAGCACTTAAAGCTCTCTCTAGAAGCAGAAAGCATTCCATGCATTTTACCAGGTCAGATCAACACACATGGCGCATTTCCTTTTCTAAACTCTTCAACATCACGCTCTCAGTGAGTCACCGATGGAGTAATCCTTGTGTCGGTTTGACGATTCCTATTACTCCAACAGGTACGGTGTGGCTTTTTGGCTTTTTGGTAAGTTTCGTACGCCTTTTTTATTATTATGGAATGCTACACAAACAATTTATCCGAAACTGGTAAATGAGGGCAGCTTTAATAGGGCTGAAGCTGGGGGCTGGGATATCATCGGGTTTTTAAAAGCGTCACCGAATACGCTATGCCGAACCATTCCGCTCATGTGATACCATATATATGGTATGTAGAATTTTTTTTAAGGACCTAGAAGCCTTTACCTCGTATAATTACGGAACAAACATAAAAGCTTCAAGTGCTGAAGATTTAAAAATACACACTACTTAAGATCAGATGCGCTATCACGTGGTCCCTCCACCGTTCGAGCGGCTTCGTTTTCTTACGACGGACTTCTTAACGGTCATCAAGTACTGCTTGAGCCCTTTATCACAATCCGCGTTCACATCGGACGGTGTTAGCTCATCTTCATCAGGCCCAAGTCACTCATATCTAAGGTCTCATAACTACTTGCAGCGAGGGCCGGTGTTTGCTGATGCAAATTTGGTCTCAGACGAAACCGTGTATTGCGTTCTTTGTCGAGGAATTTCCATAATCCAGTACTAGTGCACTATTCTTTAGAATATGTGACTATCAAAATATACTGTTTCCAGTACATTTTAAGTTCGTGTTTTAATTTTTACGAACATAAGCTAGTCGCTACTCCTGATTCGGCACGCGCTCACTGCGTCGTGTAGGTAGTCTTTTGCGCCGCCTTCCTCTTGTTGGTTGGTAAAGCCACACGAAGTCGATGGTCTCTAGCTCCAAGTCGACTCTGAGCATCCCCGGGGGGGGGGGGGGGTTGGCGGACTCCCATGTTAATATGCGATCACCAAACCATTGCACCAGAAAAAACGCTAAATTAATGACACAGCGCTTGGCGTAGAGGTGTTCTGCATCGTAGAGCTCTTCGTAGGGTTTTGTAAATCTTGAGATGTAGAAGGATCCGTCTGCCTTTCGATTGAAGTTCCTAACGTGTTTTTTGCGCTTGTTGTGCGGCGGCATCTCGATAAAACCAAAATGAGGCTTTACATCTTCAGATGCAATGTAGATCTTAGCTTATTTTGTCTAAAGCATGATAAGACGAGTTGGGGACCCTCCTGAATCGCTGCACAATTAGCGTGAATACACGGAAACATTTCATCTTGCCAGTTCCCGCATGTGCATTCTCGAGCTGAAAGAGCAACAAGTTATCAAGCGTGAATATGCCCGTGTTGATTTTGAGGACCAAGGTGTTGAACAGAGTAGGCACCTTCCATGAGAGGTCAACCTACACATTCCGGCAGCTGTGGCTCTATCCATGCGTTGTCGCTGAAAACCGGAACTAAATCTGACTCCTGTTTTTATCGTAGCCAATTTGCCGCTGACGTTTCTCAGATGTAAGCTCGCTCAGCTTCTTGCAGTACATGTGAAACCCATTGAGAGGCAGATGTGCGTACTTAAACAGTATACTGGATTTTACGTGGCGCGAACTTACCGGGGCTGTACCGTAGTATCGGTGTCAAGTGTCACCTCCTATATTGACCAATCACAGCCGTGAATTGGACCTTGGCCAAGTAGAATTTGCAGTGTTTTGTCAAGTGCCCCCCTTGAAGCCAGTGCGGCATAACTGGAACTACCGCAGAGCAGCGAAGAGACTAAGGACCAAAATGCGGGTGCCGTGGCAACGAGGCAGGCGGAAGCAGAAGCAGTTTAAGCTGATGTCGGTGACCTTTGCATTCAAAGCTGCCGCACTTCACCTGTTTGAAACGCGCACCATGCGCGTCGTGATTCGGTCCTTGTGACCTGCAATTTTTGCAGCATTGTTTTTGGTGAACAGAGCTCAGCTAATGAGCCTGTGATGCTGATGTGGGACGACTTCAATGCGCATTGGACGCCTGAAGTCGTTGCATTTGCTCTTGAGAAAAATGTTGTTTTGCAACGCATTCCCCCTGGATATACGCACTGCTGTCAACCAGCAGACATAGCATGGAATAAGCCCCTAAAGGACCGGATTGGAGCGTAGAAGAGCTGACTACCGCTTTAAAGGCTTTATCGTGGCTAGCCGACTGTGTAGGAAATGTTTTCTGGCACGACGACGTCGTAGATAGATACATTTACAGAGATTAGAGCTAGCTACAACAACACAGTTCTTGATTCAACCATAATTAGCACCTTGAGCTTATCCTGATCATTAGATTTGTCGGTACGAGAGGGGGGGACACTTGCCACTGATATTACGGTACCGTTTTATAAATCCAAATCTGAATTAACTCGCCGATTGTCAGAATCCAGTACACTACCGAATTCCTCGATGAGTTGCCCCCCCGTGGTACATCAGCAAAGGGGGCCAACTCATCGATGAAGACCCTTCAGACACACATGCATATCATTGGTTAAAACTGCACGGATCTTCTGGCGGGCGCTCGCCGCCGGCCATTGCAAGTTTCGATGGTTCGCGCACGCATAACGACTGGGCAGTAAGAAAAATGGATACTCTAGGAGGCAAGGAAAAAGGTTCCCGTACCTGACCGAGCAGACATCATATCGTGGCTTGTCAACTCGTGGGAATCGATTTCAAGTGAGTCAATTGTGAAAACGTTTGCTTCAATTGGTTAGGGAGTACAACAGACAGATAGTGGGCTCAATCAAGACGACCAGCAAGGGCAAAGTGTACCTGGCGAAGAAGGAGAAGACGAAGAGATAGATTTATCAGATTTAGTGCTGCATGTTAGGCTCTAAAATGCTCTTCCACGTCCGTTAGCATCAAACAACGAACAATCCCCTTGTTGCGCTCAGATCGACGGCGTCTCTGGCTGTTGTCAGACTTTCGTAGGTCCTCGACGACTGTAGTCATTTTGTTTTCGTATGCAGCGCTCAATCGTAGTAGCCGGCGGGGTAAATACCCTACATGACATGCTTGCGATCCCAAACGAATGACGTACGCTTCAGCACATACTCAATTTGCCATAAAGATTCTTACCATGCTCTTCCTACCAGTGTCGACTGCAAGTCTGTGATTGGACGTTAATCGGGTGGGGGAGGGCCAACTCATCGAGGAAGTCTCTTCAAACGTTGCCCATCATTTAGTATAGGAAACCCGGGTGGGGGGGGGCAACGCTTCGGTGAAATTTGAGGGGGCCAACTCATCGAGGAATTCGGTAGTACTGGATTATGGAAATTCCTCGTTCTTTGTCTGCCAGCTCAGCTGCAGCACAAACGAGGGCATCACACGCCCCCGAAATATCAGCTGATATCAAATGCGGCATCCTTTTCGCAACGCTGGGGTCGAGCAGCGATATATACGTTAGCTCACTTTTGTGTAGTTCTCCAAACCGATTGTTAAAGAGATTCAGCATAATCGCTCGACATTCATTCATCATGAACACTGTTTCGTCCACATAACTCTCATCCCCAGCAGTGAGCTTGCGTGAAAATGACTTGGAGCGGTAGCAACAAGTGTCCCATCCGAGAGCGTTTTCAGAACTAGTGGAAATTTCGTGACGGTGAAACGTAGCCCTTTGACACCCGCAATGATTCGTGATCTAGTATTTGTGTCTAAAAACTGGCGTAAGTACTTCGACACCTGCTGAATTGTGACGCGTTGGCTAGAATCTAGAATGTGTCCGTCAATATCATAGCTAACAAGCTATTCAACATAAAGAGCGCTCGTTTCCTCCATTCATTACTTACAATACCGATGCAAAATGTTATGACATCCTTCTGCAAACCAATGCTGTCCTTAAGACACCAGGGCGTTCCTTTGCGCTTTGTTAGCTGCTATACCAACCATGTCGGCTCCCCTCGTCTTTACGAGAGAGTAATGGTAGTATATACACAATTCACATTACTGTGTTGTCTCGACGAGCAATCTTATCGAAGATCAACTCGATACGATTAAAGTTCTGGTAATCATGATGTTACGCATAGTAATCTGCAGTGCGTCAATCTCTAGCTACCAGTCTACAAGAAGTAAAGCTCATCTACTGCTGATGTCGTTGCTAGCCGAAGGTCAGATGTGGATATTGTACAGGTACGTTTTTAAAAATCTTATTTCGATCACCTGGATCTTTGTGATGACTGGTGAGAGCACGGCGCAGCGGAACAGCGA